TCCAAAATGCACAGGTAGCTCATTTGGTTAAAAATGGCTTGTTGAAATTTTCCCTAGAATTCGACAATTTGGAATAAAAAAGAGGGAAGTTCCGTGAACTAATTTGAAACATTCGTTATGCCTGTCATCTGACGCAATGTTAATAGGGTTTAGAGCGCATTCCGCACTTTATCCCTATTTTTAAAACGGATTCTTTTTTTTTAACTTGAATGTTTCCACTATGGGAAGCTAATACATGTATTTACCTTTCCATACGTACTGCTACCATCTTTATACACGAAACAGCTGTAGGCAGTGACGTAAATATCTCTGTTCGCAGTATGGAATGTTATGGTAGAGTGACGTCGTCACTTGAGTGCTCAGCAATGTTTACAATATGTTTGCTTCAAACACCAGTTGGCCCGGACCTTCTATAAATGTCATTGGATTCTATCGGAGTGCTTCTCAAGTAACAATTTTGGTTTTATGACGGTTCTGTAGATCATGATTTAGACTTGTAGAATGCTATAAAACCTCGATAAACCTGCAATGTTACTTGGGCTTTTTAGTTTTCGAGAATAATGAGGATAAACATTCAAGCTGAACATTGCATTAGATCCTAAGTAACATTGACAGATTCTCTGCGACGACTTTCTCTTTGTATCTCCACGGCCATGTAAACGTAAAGACATTCCCAGGTATTTTCAGCACACAGATCGATAAAATAAGTTTTTATCTAGCATCTAATACGACAAACACAACATGAAACGAAATGTTCCTGTGAGGGGTAAGTTTGTTACCATTGTTTCCCACAGTCAATTACTGATTCGGTTGAGATGTTCGTAGACGCCAGTTTAGAGAACTGGAGATCTGGGACCAAACCATGCTGGACGGTAGCCAAGATCCTGAAAACATATCCTTAACCTGTTCCACCTCTCAGAGTCGAAAAGGATGACGATCGGCTTTTAATCACTCCACGATCGGCAAGCATGTCGCTTCATCGCATTTGCTTGGCTCGACTATCCAAAGTCCGCTCAATGATCAGGTTGCGCAATGCGTTCAAAACCTAGATACCTCCCCTTGTGTCGTGCCTCCGGCGGATATGATTACAGTACAACAGATTTGCTCAGCGCTGAAATGCACCAAGAACATGAAGGCTCCCGGGTTTGACGGTATATTCAACTTGATCTTGAAGACACTCAGCATGAAAGTGCAGTCTCTTCTAACCGCTATCTTCAACAGATGTTTGGAACTGCACTACTTTCCAAGCATCTGGAAAGTAGCAAAAATCATACCAATCCGCAAACCCGGTAAAGATCCAATATTGTCTTCCAGCTACAGACCAATCAGCCTCCTTTCAGCGCTGAGCAAATGGTTCGAGAAACTCATTCTCAACCGTTTGCTCAGGTTTGTCGAGGAAAATAACATTCTCCTTCCGGAACAATTTGGATTCAGAAAGGGGCATTCCACCAATCACCAGCTAGTACGGGTGATGAATAACACCCGAAGTAACAAAGCTGTATCCAAGTCCACAGCCATGGCCTTGCTAGATGTTGAAAAGGCGTTTGACAATGTTTGGCATGACGGACTTGTGTACAAGATTTGTAACTTCAACTTCTCATTACATCTGGTTAAAATCACCCGTAACTACCTCCAGCAAAGGTTGTTTAAGGTATCGTTGAATGGTAGTCTTTCAGACACGTTTTCCATCCCAGCAGCAGTCTCGCAAGGCAGTCTACTGGGCCCCTTGCCCCTTGCGACTTACACCCATAGGCGTAACCATAGGGGAGCAGGTGGGCAACCCCCCTTAAACCAGCAACACAAAGGCATTCGGTGAAACGGCATTCGGCCAAATTTTCCATAGATTTTTTTCGCCCCTCCCTAGCTTGAAACCTGGCTACCCCTTGTTACAACATTTACACTTCCGACATTCCTCCCCTCGGAGACGGTTGCATGTTGTTCCTGTTCGCAGATGATACCGCAATAGCCGTCAAAGGAAGGATGCCTCGCGAAATAACGAACAAACTTCAACGATGCCTTAACGCCTTTGCTGATTATGCCACCACGTGGAAAATCAAAATCAATGCCTCCAAAGCACAAGCGATCATGTTCCTCCATCGGCAATCGCCCAAACTGAAACCGGCTCCATCTTGTACTGTAATCATGGATGGCACAAGGGTTGAGTGGTCTGCCGAAGTAACCTATCTCGGGATGTTGTTCGATGAAAAGTTCCTATTCCGTTCGCATGTAGAGAAAACTGTAGTCAAGTGTTCTGCCTTGGTTAGGTGTCTGTATCCGCTGATTTGTCGTAGATCCCGCCTCTCAAGGGGAAACAAACTGGTTGTCTGTCTACAAACAAATCATAGCACCTGCGATCCTCTAGGCAGTTCCGGTGTGGGAATCATGTGCACAGACTCACAGGAACAAAATCCAGGTCGCTCAGAATAAAGTGCTGAGGATGGTAATTGATCGTCCTTTCGACACTAGAATAGCAAATTTACATGAAGAGGCAGGCATGCCCAAAATAGGTTCCAGAATTAACGAAATTAATACTAAATTTGCACAAAAATGTAATATATCAAAACATGCTTTGATAAGCAATTTGTATATAGTAGTTGTAGGTTAGTTGTAGTTGTAAATAGTAGTTATAAGTAGATTCCTTTTTCCAATTTTTAAACAAACCAATCCCATCAAGGTGGTCATTCTCTAAAACAGGCCTGATATGACTAGGAACTGTAATTAATAATAATTGGAATTTGAAAAGAAGTTGAGAAGACGCATCTGTGTCACTTGATAATTCTTTCTCCAATTTGAAAGTTTTGGGTATATAAGTATAGAAAGCTCTCAATTAGTTATGTTTGAAGCACTTCAATAAAACTAAGTTAAGAGTATACAAACAACTAATATGCTATAAGTAATAAGCTTGAAATGCCATGTAGTAGTAATACAAATGGTATTATTAAGCACTGAAAACGTTTTTTTAATTGTCGCGGGTTAGTATTTGAAGTCGCCGATTAGTTCGAGGATTTCGCGGATAAAATTTTGAAAATCTCTGCAATTGCTTCACTTTGTTAGCTTTCACCTCGTTCGTGTCGGTCACCTCCACTTCGTGCCCTTCCAAGAGTATGAGCATCCTGAACTTCCAAGGCAGCAAAGCCATCGAACAGCGGCAGCAAAGCCATCGAACAGCGGCAGCAACATATGACCGAATTTTTTCTCCTCCTTGGAGAAAAAACTGCACTTCCGATACTAATCCGATAAAGTGCGACCGGGCCCAAAACTTGAAGTGGTTTCAGATAAACAGGGGAAAATTATCTGTGAAAAACCCGCATTTTAATGGGCAGCTAGAGTACAGTGGTTACACTCTTAACAGTTGTTCCTCCAGAGAGCGCAGAACAGCGAGAGAATATGGCGTAAATGCTCTTAACTCGATTAACTACCAGAGCAGGGTTTCGACGATTCAAATCAATTCATCAACTCACTTGAATTCAATTGGCTTGAAAAGTAGAGCTTGGTCCAACTTTTTTTCAATTCAAGTGAGTTGATCAAGTCAGTTGAATGGCATGGTTTACACGTTCAATTCGTGTTCAAGTTAGTTGAATTCAACTGACTTGATCAATTGACTTGCCCTGTCTAAACCCAGCTTAAGTATCTGAACCATTTGTCGATTTTTTTTTAACTTTTGGTTAAAATTTGACAGATGAAAAGTTATCGATTAACCCTGCTATCCGAGCATGGTTATTTCTGACAGACAAGAAGTTAAATTTTGACAACCGTGGATCAAAAACCGGTCGATCGACAGCACGGGGATTTTCGAACATAGAAAATAACTTTCGAAATGTCACTTTTAACCACGAGATTAATTTAACTCGGCAAATGGATAACAGCCTAAGTGAATCGTTTGCGGCTCAGAATATTAAATGAGTAGTGAACTTTTTGTGTCATTAAAATTGAAAAACGATTTATTTGCAGGATAGGTCGAATTGAGGGGCTATACGTGTTACCTGATTCATAACGAACATACATACTTTGTCCATCCCAGTAGGCACCGTCGAAATTTTCTAAGGCATGAAATCTTTGATCACGCCTTCCTTCGGAAGGGAAGTAAAGCTGTTGGTCTCCGATCTAGGAGTTGATGGGTCGAAAGGTAGGGTCCAGGTGTGGGAGCTGCCTCCCTGGCGTCGGTAGCATTGGTACTAAGTACGGAAAACAAGATCGGCGGAAAACAAATCAACGCAAAAAAAAAATCTCCCGGATTTACCGTATATTCGTTATGAGTCAGGTAACATAGTAGTTTACATCCCGTAGCCCTAAAGGTTAAATTGTGACTTTAAACAATTTCTTTCGATGCCATTTCATTCGGATCATAATCAGATCAGATCAGATTGACCGCCAACGGTTGCTGCTCTGTTATTACCAGATCAGCTGTAATTACACAGAGAACCAACAGATGATGTTTGGGACTAACATTCATCCTCAATGTGTAAGAACTGGAGATCTAATATTTTAGCAATACCAGCGCCGGCCGTGTCCGAATGCAGGTCAACTAGGGAGGGAAGGAATGTGTTGACGTGGTACTCGCTGTGAAGGAAACCGAGAAATCCTCTGCGCTTCCACGAGAAATCACTGGGATGTTGGATGTGGGGAAAGGTTGCACGCACACGCAGGGATCGTTTTTGGTAGAGCGATTATAATACACAAACACACACACGCGCACGCACTCATCCAATTTCTATTTTTAGATCAGGACCCACACTGTGGTAAGTGATGCGATTGGTGTTAAAGAAGAATTTGTTTTTCATTAAAATCTAGTGGGTATAGAATAAGGCAAAGTGAAAAACTGCAAGGAAGGGGACGGGGCCTGGGATTGAACTCCCGACCTTCTGCTCAGTAAACAGAAACGGTAACCACTGAGCTACCGAGCCTCGTCTTTGATGCCATTTCATTCGATTTCATTCGGATCATAATCTAGACAAAGCACAACTAAAGGCAGGTTGCATTAATTATTTTATGTTTTTTTTTTATCTCATTCGTAATTTTGCTTCATTTTTTACAAAATAAATAATTTATTTACATTAGAAAATATCCTACTATACGATAAGGGCCTTATTCGACGTAAACTGAGTAGAAAAAAGGAATTGAAGGATAAGGGAGTATGCAGCTACAGCACTAGCATCTGAGCAAAGGTACAACTCAGCAAATGGGTTCAGATGGATGATCTGATTTTTAGGAGAAAAAAAAATTATAACTAAACGACGACGACTTGTTTTGTGGGATGATGATGACTGGGATGATGATGATGATGATGGAGGAAAGGATGAAATGGGCTAGCATCCTAGAAGTTAGGATCATAATCTCGATAGTATCGTCGCGAGTTCGTATTGTAGTGACTGCTGGGTGGTGGCGGGGCATGATGGTACGGTGGATACATGGCCATCACCGGTGGCGGTGGCTCGTGCATCATGAAAGCCGCATCGGGTAACCGGTGGTGATGATGGTGACCGGACGGCGGGTAGTGCGAACCCTTTAGGTTGTAGTCGTCATAGTAGTAGTTATCGTTATTGGGCTGACGTTGCGAGCGCCAGCTATCGTAGATATTCGAGGCACTGCTGCCGTGCATGGAGTTGGAGAAGCGCTGCTTGGATGAGAAATCATGATTATTAGTGAGCGGGTCGAGAGAAAATCAAAAACAAACCTTTGGTTTCACATCGTGCCCATGGTCATCCCACGCATCATCCAGATTGTACAGATCTTCCGAGCCAAAGTTGTCTATGCCTCCCATGTGGTTCTTGTTCAGCTCGTTTAGCATGTCAGCTGTCAGTGGCGTTGGAGCCTTCTTCTTGGCTGCCTTTTGACGATTTATTAACTGAAATAAAATGGAATGCAGTCCGTCAAATCTGGTTCGTTGGATACAAATACGATATGTTACCACAGTGACGCCGAAAAGGATCACGAATAGAAGCGATGCCATTCCAATGACAATACCGGCTATTGCCCACTGGGGTAGCAGAAGATCTTCCTCCTCCGAATCTACCGGTGGAAGAATCTGTTTCGGGATAACTAAAACAAAACAAATCCGTTCAGAAACCCACAACAAGCTACAGATCTAATAAAATCATCTCACCGGTGAAATCAGTAGAAACCGGATCGACCTTGAATCTACCCAACAAGAAGACCTCCTTCACGCGGGGAACCGCCGATTGTAAGTTTTCCTTCGTCCGTTTCTTCTGCACCTGCGAATCTCCATCATCTTCTTCGTCCAAATCCGTGCTAGGCTCAGCAGTGGTAGTTGGCAACGGTGCGGGCATCAACGCATCGTGGAAAAGTCTCCTAATCTCCAGCGTGTTGACGTCCTCAGTTAGATCAGTTAACTCAACAAAGTAATCCACCAGTACACTACCCTTGTTAAAGCTGTCGATGCGCACCTTCTTGTACCACTTGCTAAGATTCTGAGCAGTGCTGTAGACTTCGTTCAGTTGAGCCTCAACTTCCTTTGCCAGATGTTTCCATTCGGCAGTATTGTGATCGAGCAGCTCCGGTACCCAGTTGACGCCGTCAACAATGCGAATCGTACCGGCCAGGTCACACTCCGAATGGCACAAACCTGGTTCCGTTGGTCTGAAAGAAATTACGGAATTATGACGCATCAACCAGCCACCAGGAGATTTTCTGCACTTACCTATGCGTTGTGGTTGTAGTGGTCGTGGTCGTAGTAGTTGTCGTTGTCGTAGTAGAGGAAGCTAGAATCTTCTCTAACAGTTCTTGCTGTTTCTGTTGTTCGAGAAGTTTTTCGATCGAAAGTGGGGTCGTTGAGGGTGTTGGCCAGCCGGTGAATTCGGTTGTGGCTCGGGTAGGCGGTCCCTTTCGGATAATTATATCGGGAGTCCCTGGTCCCTCGGCTAGGAGTGGTTTCAGAGTGGTAATACGGCCCACGCCTGGTTTTTTGACGCCCGGTCGACTTGGGAATACGACCTTAAAGCTGTTTCCAGAGTTTCCAGTATTACTGGTGGGGCCAGGTGATTCAAGATTTGTTTTGTTGAATCCGGTAGGAAGCAATGACGAGACATCCTTGAACTGGATCTTGCTCAGTAGGCTTATGGGATCGATGACCTCTGGTACAGGTATTTTCTCTTCGGCAGAGGGCTTGTAACCCGGTGGAAGGAACTTATTGATATCTTCGCTGAAAACAATGGAAGCTTTGGTGGATGTTTCCTGCTTTGGATGCTTGTAACCCGGTGGAAGTAACTGACTGATATCATCGTTGAACACTACTTTGGGTTCATCTTTGGGTGGCTTGTAACCAGGAGGAAGGAACTTGGCATCTTCGCCATCGATAACGGACGAAGCAGTGGTAGTTGGTTTCTTTGTTGTCTTGTAGCTCTTGTAGCCCGGAGGAAGCAGTTTGCTCACGTCGTCTTCGATAACAGACGACTTTGGAGCCTTCGTGCTTGGACCAGATTCTGCGGGTGGCTTGTAACCAGGTGGTAAGAAAGAGCTAATATCAACTTTCTGCGCTTTTTTGAGTACATCCACAGTACCGTTTGCTTTCTCATTAACCTTGACCTTGCTGATCAGTTCCTTCAAGTTGTTCGTTGTCTTGACTTCCTCTTCCGTACGATTCAACCGGTAGTCCTTCGGCAGAAGTGAGCTCAACTCTTGCACAGGAACGTTACTCTTGTACGATCGACTTATGTTCGCGGGACGGAATCGGTTTCCGATCTCTGGCTTCAATGGTTCTTCATTCAAAACGTCCTTGGCAGCAGCTAATGGCTCAGAAGTTGTACTGCTCGCTCCAAACTTCTTCAACTTAAAAGCATTCTTTTGTTTGTAGTCCGGTGGAAGCAGAGCAGCAATATCATCTACCGCGATGGCTTCAAAATTGATTTTCTTCACTATGTTATCAGTACTAGGCGTTGGTCTCTGGGATGTTGTGAACACTGGTCGTGGTTTCTTGGTGGTGGAAGCTCTACCATTTGGTTGGAACTTTCGAATAACAACCGGAGGTAGTGACGAGTTCGGAACTTTGCTGTCTTCGGTAACCATTTCCTTCAATACTGGGAACTTTCCGGTGAGTACACCACTCGATAGTTCAGACTGAACTCTATCCAGTTTGTCGATGATACTTTCGGTAGACTGAGCATTCAGTGTTTTCTCAGTTGTCGGAGTTTCCGAGTCGTCCGTTACTGAAATGACTGGTTCTTGTGGAGCAACAGTAGTCTTTTCTACTTCTTGACTGCTGACAGTGGTCAAATCTAAGTCATCATTCTCGTTGCTGTTCTTGGCATCAAGCTCCGACAAACTTTGCTTCTTTTCATCCTGTTCAACCTGAGGGAAGGGTAAGAATCGAGCACCTGATACACTTCTACTAGTTTGCACTGAAGCCACCACAACCCAACTTTCGGTAGTCACATTCGAGGATGCTTCCGATTCCATTGAGCTACTGACCGGTCGCTCCGACGTAGTGCTTGGTTCGGAAGTTGTCGATTCCGTAGATGTAGTCGGTGTTGTACTGGTCGTAGAAGTTGGCACAATTGGAACAGCACTCGTGGTTTCTGCTACAATTTCTATCGATACAGGAGCGACGGCCGGTTCTTCTATCGCATCTTCTTCCGAGTAAAGCAAGGTGTCGATATCATCGGGTTGATCTTCAACTTCCGTTCCTCTGGCAGGTTTGACCTCCGGTTTCACAGTCGTACTAACTGCTGGTTCTTCAGCATCGTAAACGTACTCATCATCATAAGCCGAATCGGCTTCCTTTTTGTCCTCCTTAGCCGGTGAAACTGATGATACTTCCTTTTTAGGTTCCTCAGTTTCCACTTCTTCTTCTTCTTCTTCTTCGTATTCCCCATCAAGGATCTCCTCCGATCCAGAATTCGACGAGTAGAAGTTATCAGTCAGAATCACTGTATGATCTTCAATCTGTTCGGCATTGCTGGTTTGACTATCGCCTTCCTTCACCACGTCGTAGTATTCATTCTCGTTGATGTTGTTCAAACTACCACCCCGATCTTCGTTCTCGTATGCCTTCGTAGTTGTACTGGTAGGAGCGCTGCTCGTAGTGCTCACCGCTACCTCCTGTTCATCCTTTCCTTTCTTTGGATTGTTCTTCTGCGCTTGCGATGGCTTAAAATCTTTGATATCTTGCTGTTCGTCAACAAACTCGTTCGTATCCTTACCATCTTCAGCGTAATCTTCGTAATCGTAGATAACCTCCGCCGACTTGGCCGATCCGTTATGTGTGATGTTGATCGAAGGAATCACCGGACGGGCTGGCAGGTGGATGAACCGAGATTGGCTCGCCAATTTCGGCGTGGGGGATGTTGTGGTGGTGGTAGTTGTTTTTGGCTTGGCCGAATTGATGATGGGACCACGAGGGGTAGTGGCGCTGTTCAGAGGGATGACCTTTTTAGAGTCAAATGCTGGGCGGTACGTGTTGGGTGCAGGTGTTCTGAGGGGGAAAAACAAGGGATTAATAATTCAATCAATTTGCATTGGATGCGTTACGTCGGAATTATCAACTATGGATACAGTAATGACCCGATTTTGTCAGCCCCCTTGTTGAACGCATACGCTTTTTCAGTGGCTTTATTTGTATCACTATTCCTTAAACATCTACCATAAGGATTTTTTTTTATATAGTCACTTTAACACTCTTGGGTCATTCGTTTCATGTCCGGAATGAGATTTGAACTCGTGATATAGGCGTGAGAGGTATGGATGTTAACCACCACGCCATAACCGTCACCAGCAATCTTGAAGATAAATGGGAAATTTTGGAATTGCGGAAAACATGTCAAAAAACTGCTAAGTGAAACATTTTGGTATCCCTGTCTCATTCAGATAGCATTGAAAGTAGTTAATTTTAATTAAAAAAAAACTAATTAAAAATCTTAGTGGAAAACTAGTTGTTTAAAAGGCTATAGTTTGTCAAACGATATGGCCGTGTGGCTGTCAAACCCATGTGTGTCGACGCACACTGACACAATAACTTGTTGATAATTAGGGCATCCTTAGCAGCGGTCCAATTGGCTGGTATGGTCTAAATTTTAGGAACAGATCCAGACCGAGCTCTGCTCCGGACGTCTGCATTTTGTTTTAGACTAGATCTAAAATGTGTTTTTTTTTAAACCAGTACAATTCTCGATCTATTATGAACTGAATTTGGATCAAGACAAGCACTGTTCCAAACCAGTTTGACAGTTGTCTCACTCGATTTTTGTTTTGTTTTCTGTCAGTGTTGGGATTTCTTATGCAAAACAAACCGATTTATTTCCTCGATTTTCCCTGAAACGAATGTGGTTCCATCAAAGTTGTAATCGTAAGCGAGAAACATTCGACTGCTGTTGCTGCCGAAACAGCAGGAACTTTGCTGGACGGGACAAAAGGTATCGAAAAGCGGGCATCGAGCGGCTACTTTCTAACAGAGCTGTGGCACCACCAACGAGCTGGGAACCGACTTTGTAGTGCTCGGTAAGATGCGCCAACGCGTGATTGGTTGACAGCCGATCAACGCGAGGATGTGCAAGTTGAGGATTAAAGGCCGTTTCTATGGGCCCAATCTTAGATCCCTACACGAACCTTGAATATACAGAAAAATATGACTAGAGTATGTTTCTTGCACGCATGGAGTAAAGTGTAGATAAAATTAACAAGTTGTTTTATTTAAAAGGTGCTGTAACGTTAAGGGTCATAAATAGTAGCAAAAACACGTTCTTAAAAATTTCGACAGGCAAACAAAAGTTTGAACACACGCGATCTTTAGCCATACATATAAAGTACATTGTGACCATAACCAAGTGTACTCCTAATAGCTACGATACATTCACATATGTTAAGATATTTTAACCAAATTTATGCTTTGGCCCAATATCACCCCACCTAAGGTTTAACATTGGTCTATTTTTTCTTAAATTTTATTAAAATGAGATATCATTTTTTAATCAACCGTTTCCATGAAAGTCATAGCTATATCATTTATGAATATAATCACATGCCTAAAATTGTTTTCTATGCTAAAATGTGAATGTGGTAAGGTAGGGAACGAAGCTTTTAGAGTTTTTGACACCCTCACTTAAGGTACAGAAATGTGCATGGGTTTTCCGAAATGTCTACTGCACTGGGTGCACATACTATTACAGAAGTCTTTGGTTTAAGCCCTGACTTGGATGCTTTTAAATAAGAGTTTTTTTCTGCACGGTTTTTTTTTTACTAGTTCGTTTATTTACTAGGCTCAGTCGTGTGTGACACTTTGCGCTTACTTCAATTGCTATTAAACCAAATTAGGCATTGACAGAAATTTTCACTAATTAAAAAAGCAAAATTATCCACGAAAGGAATGATAATCATAATGGACATTCCTTGTACCACCTATTGAATCTACATATCGATTGTTCAGTCGGTCAAGTTTTCCAACAGAATGTCTAGGGCATCACCCATAGTCCATTGTCCTCGTCTAATCTAATCTGAAAATTCCACCTCTAAAGGAAACCCGGGCTTGAACTCACCGTCCAGCGAAGCGATTCCTCAGCACCACGCTCTCAACCGTAGTACTTTTGGCAGTGACCGGATCAGCCGTAGTCGTAGATCGGATTCGATTAGGCTTCAACGTGGGCTTGGTGTACCGGCTGCTACTAGTGCTGCTGTTGCTGCCATTTCTGCTACCGTTATTTGTCTCGTTCTGATGATGCCTGCTGCTGCTGCCACTTCCACCCAGGTCTTCCGATTTCGATCTGAAACTGTTCCGCCCGGCCGATGGTGGAATCCGCTGCTGCTGCGAGGATGAGGAGGAGGAAGAGGAAGAGGTTTGCCTTTGTTGTGCCGCCGTCGATCCCAGGAAACCGCGTGTCGGTTGCGACGAATCTTCATTGCCGAATGGACGCGGTCGGTTCGAGATGTACGATAGGTGCCGATCACGTCCTGCTGTTTCCGTCGCCAGTGGACGCTGCAAGTGTACAAAAAAAAAGAAAGATTAGATTCAGTAGTGAAGAAGTGAGAAAGCGAAATTATTTAAATACTCTCGTTTGAATCGAATGCATTCAACGAGTGCAGTTGGGTAGACGAAGGTGATTTGCATTAACAATTCATTCCATTCATTCGCACCGTGCTTGGCTTTATGGTAGAGTACTGCTTGAAGTAAAAGGAAATAGAAGCGCATCAGCACTTTCGTAATATCGATCAAAGAGTGGTAAGCAAACTTCATCGTGTATGAAAGTCAGGGTTGGCTTCGGCGTCACCCTTGCCGGCGAAGCACTGTAGTAGCTACCTAAACTGTTTTGAATGCATCCCGCCGATCGACCTAAGGTTGGAAGTCGTGATAATCGAATAACCGTAAAAACATAATAAACAATCCCTTGGAAACGATCTCCAACATTGTGCCCTCTGGTAGCCAAGCAACCAGGAATGTTCCTACCCTAGATGTGTGCATACCAAATGCTTGGATCAAGGCCCCGCTCCACCTAATAGCTTGATACCGTTCGAGCCACTAATCGTCAGTCGACACTTAACCTCCAAATAGTTTCGTGCCCGCCGCGCAGCAATTAGATTAAACTGCAGGGCTTAATATGGAACCCGTCACTTTCGTGCCTAACCGTAAAAGGCCCCCTTTGTTGTTCGCAAGTACGTGTAACTGTCAATCTGAGCGCACCACACCTGGATGGAACCACCAGTCATAAACTGGACCGTGGCCACAGCGGCTTTCATAATCTACAACCAGACATTGCACACGGTGTGTCATTTTTGGCAATGCCTTTCCCTTTGCCCATTTAAGCGTGGACATTTGTGCGTACCTTGCGCGCCTTCACCGTGAATAGATTAATGGCAGGTTAAAAAGTCGCTAGTCACACTGGATTTATAGCATTTCCGAAGGTTACGTCACGCGATCGTTCAATGTTCTGTTACCGGCTGCTGTGCTATTGAGATGTTGGTTATTTTGTGGGTCTTAACCGAGCCGAGACAAGGTCGATGCCAATGATGTTAGGGGCCATATAACAAAGGAAATAACCGTTGTTTTCGGGGAGTGTAGTTGAACGGATTTATTGTTTTGGCTTGGGTTGAATACTGCTTCTGTGTGAACTTGAACGAGAGGAGTTGTTCCGTTCAGATCCGACCTGAACTGGTTACTGTTAGTTACTTTGTGACCTGGTATTGCTATGGGAATTAAGATCAACCGCTGTGGAAAGCTTATTTCTGATTGATTTTTTTTTTTTCCGCTGTTCGGGACATAACACCACTGCGACCAGTTATTTGATCTATTGTAGTATATCCCGTGTCCTTAGTTTAGTACATGTCGTATTACTCCATCACTATTGAGAAATGATGAAGTGATGAAGTATTCGGTTTTGATACAGTTGTCATTCTTGCCTTCATCGCAAGGAATCGATTCTAACTGAAAGGTTCCGCTATTTATACCCTTCGGAGTTGGAACACCCTCCAAAGGCACGCCCCTTTGTCAGTCAAAATTGGATTCCTTTACAACAAAAACAAGCTATGACACCGATAATGACCATGCATCAGAACCCTAGTCTTAACCACTTCAAACTAGGGAACAACGATTAGAAGATTAGGAATCACATAGACTAGCTAACTCATTTTTCCCTTGTTTCAAGATCATCCTCGGTCCAGGCAACCCGAGGACTTATCACTATCAACAAGGCATAAAAAGTAACAAGGACTAAGATGTGTTCCTTTGATTACTGAAAAATCCTGTTCCCCTAGTTTGAAGAAGTTAGGACTAGGAATCGGTGGTAGATCTTACATCCCGTAACGTACCACGAAAAGGTGATCTACCCACGTTACGGGGCAGTCTGATTGATCTTACTATCACCTCGAAATTTCAAGAGCACACATATCAGCTCCCACAAAACTTACATCATTGAAACTGGAATTTCACGGGAGTTCCAATTTTATGAGCGATGTTTCAGCAATGTCCAAGTTTTGTGCTCTAGAAAACTTGAAGTGATAGGGCATATCAGCCATTTGTGGAATAAATGTTAAATCAGGTTTTATGATCGATAAATCTACGCGAAAAAAAACACTATAGGGTAGAGAATTACTTCGTCCTGATCACCCATTTTGAGAACGCGTGATATGAATGTTTGCACCCATTATTCTCAAAAACAAACCCAGACAACCAGAAATCGTATAACAATGTACAGACAGTATCGTAAATTGCTACAGTTTGAGTCAAAATCGCATATTAGAATGGCATACCTCGCATTATGTTTAAGTTAAATCGTATATAATGCAAATTTCCGACTTATATGCGATGACTCATTTTTCCATCGTACTGTATTACAAATTTAATCGGATTACATCGTAAGACTTTTCAAAATGGATTTGTTATTACAGATCAAATCGCATATGATGTTAAATCAACTCGTTTAAAATTAAACGAAAATATGCACGTATATGGCCTCCACTTTTGTACGTATAAGCCATTTATTTGCATTCTATACGACTTGTTTGTTTGTATATCACGAAAACAACTTTGAATATACGTGCATTCTGGTTGTCTGGGAAAGAAACGCTCCTACCGAATCAATTTCAATCTTCATCCGATAGTCCGAAGTGAATTCAAAGGCGTTTGAATGGCGTTTCAATTTGTTAGGCCGACTTTAGAATCCGCAGTTTGAGGTCAAGAACGAGGGGGGCGACACATCTAAATCTCAATTCTAGATGCTCAATAAATCTCACACTAGCGAATCAATCTTCGAAAAATCTTCTTTCATTTCTAGCATCTACTTGCATCGCATATCATTTTGGTTAGATAGAAAGAAGATTGATGGCGATTCTGAAGATTTCTTCAGAGTCGCCATCAATCTTCTTTCTATCTAACCAGCGTGCTCGCAGCTAATCACAGCAAAACACGATTTTTCCTGCATCTTAGATAGAGTCGTCCCCCTCGGTCAAGAAGCAGTGTTAGATTTTTAACAATATCTCAACAATTTGATTATCTTCATCAAATTTTACGTACGTACGGAAAGGTTAATAAACTTAGAAGTCATATGTAGTGAAAACATTCCATTTTACGAAAAAAATCCACTCTAAAAATAGAGGCAAAATCCGTGTTTTTCTTAGTAGGCCCAAAATTAGATCTTATTATTATGTTATTAAATTTTCGAACAATTACAACAGCGATTAATTTATTTGATGTTGATTATAGACAAACATTTGAATGGAACCTGCAAACAATACTAAATCATAGGTTTCAAACGTCGTATTCTTAAAAAAAATACCTGCGATCGAGCACAGGATATAAGTCTAAAAAAAAAGTTAAATCCCTATTTAACCAACTTGTCCTTCCGGTTTTTTTTATCTCTTTCATAGTTTTCCGACAGATTGGACCAAATTGTGATGGTTGCACGCTAAACAAATGCTTTAATCATCAAATGTAAGCGGGAATTTCTTATATCATCTGTATATGTTTCTTACAACAAATGTAGAGACAGTAATTACAATCGACTGAAGCTTACAAGCTTGTTTTTCCAGAATAAATATTTTCTGTTAGAACCTTTAGGAGATGATTTTCTAACTGCAGTGCATTTGGAAAGACAAACTATGTTCGAAAACGTCCATGCTAAATAATATATTCGTTTAACTCACAAAGCGAAACTATATTTAAGTTCAATGCCATCTAAATGGTGTTTCAGACTCTTCTATTAAAATTCTAAGGTTCACGCCTGATGGTTATGCTTTCCACACTACAATTCACAGGGCGCAGAGTAATAAATAGTAATGTTGAAAGTAAATACTATTTTTCTAATAAACACACCAGGATATACCTA